ATGGAGAAGAAGGTTATTAAAACTACACCCAAGCCTAAGATGCATGAACATAGGTAATTACAGATTAATATTCTACTGTAATACTTATGCTGAGTTAAAGTTGCCATGGGAAACAAGCCTGAATTTCTTTATTTTTCAGCAACTCATGATCATCCTCAATAAAGGTTTTGGCAGGTGATTTCTAGTGCATTGAGCTTAACAGCCACACAAAAACAGTGCAAGAAGAAAGCTGCTACGTGGGGATGTCTAGCTAGAACAGGCAGGCACAGGCACACACTTGTCCTTTATCCACCTCGGGGTAGGATTGTGACAATGTCTGTTACCGTGTGAGACACCTGCATTCCCATCCTGGCCTTCAGCTGGGATTGCCTGGATTCAGCCTCCACAGGAAATGATGTGGAAAGCACACACAGGGTACCTTGCAGCCTGCTCCCCCGCAGATGAGCGATCCCTCCATCGCCTCTTCCTGCAGCAAGTTTGTGATTTCAAGGACACATTCCTCCCACAAAGTTCCTTCAGCTATGGCTCCCAAGGCAGCTTCCCTATCCTCTATCTAGTCACCCTACACAGAGAGCTTGGCAGGGACTGCACATCTGTTGATATGGCCTAAATTTGGTGGAAATCAGCATCCATTCCCATTACAAGGTCAGCCTATAAATCACAGCAGCTCAGGAGCAGACACACAACTCAGTTGTCCCTGCTGCAGTAACAAGATTGCAGACAGAGCAGGACAGGCAGCTGCACAGATCATCACAGCCACTCCAGCTGTACCTGCCCATGGCTGGCAGCTGGATGCGAGACTGATGTTCAAGGGAAAACACATGTAATGCTCTTTTACAGCAGCACTCAAGGAAATGCACACTGAATCTGATATAACCTTCTCCTGCATTTGTACTAAATATTATCTTACAGAAAGACTGGATCCTATTTGTTAATACGCTTTTGCCAATCACAGTATGTACTGTGATCATCCAGATTTATTTGAACACCAAAAATAAATTAGTAACTGAACATCTGCTTAGTCTGTGTCAGTGTTTATGGTTTTATGTTGAAATGGTGAGTGATGTTTTATATTTATTAGTATATCCAGTTTTATCTGACAGCAATTATAATTAAAAATTTTCCCAAAATAACCATCTAAATGCATGCTAAACAGAGTTGAAGTATCTAGGATACACTAACAAAAAAAAATCAAGATATTTTTGCATTTAAAAAGTACTGTTTAGGAGGACACAGAAAACATTGTCTGTAAACAATTTATTCTTCTGCTTCTGGTCACAACCTTCTTCAGCAATAAGAAGATCTGAACATTTCATATTTTCCCTTTACAGAGAGTTTGAAAGAGGCCAATTACTACTTCCCAAATGATTACCAATTTGACTGAATCTGAGACAATGAACACCTGAAAAAACTGACATGAAAAAACGCGACTTAATCATTACCAAAAGCTCATTTAGCAGCTCAGCTACTCCTAGATTCAGCTCCTTCTAGCAGGTCAGAGATCTGATGCTCTTCTATGTTTCCCTGCAGCAGACATACAGAGCTTGAATTTTATTTTATTTTCATTTAAGTGGCTTTAATAAATTAGAGTAGAGATTAACATCATATATAGAAGGCTAATTTCAAATTCAGCTTTGAACAGATCTGATTTCTACCGTCAGACTTTTTATATTTAAAACAAATAATTTATTTTCATCCGCTCAGCTGAAGTTGGAGGCAAGATACTTGGCTTGCTGACAGAAAGAGGCACACCTTCCTACTGCATCAATAAAGGCAGCCACAGACCTGAGTCTGTGGAGCTGCTTAACACAGCCACTGAAAGCCACCATCATAAACATTGGTGTCTACAAGGACGAAGGGACAAAAGAGCAAGACTCCCACTTATTAATGCATCTTCTCATGAAGCTAAAGCTCCATATGTATCCAGCTCTATGGGCTGACAGTGTATAAAAGCAGGTACTTATAAACTCTTACCAGACAGTAAAAGAAAAAAACACAGAGCTGAAAAATGAAATACACCACCACCATTCAGGGTCCACTGACCTCTGCAGAATGACAGCTCCCAGCTGACCCCAGTGGGCTTCAGATCACATTCCAAAGGCACAAGGTAAGCTTTAAAGAGATGCGAGAGGCCAGCCATAAACATCTCTTGCTGCCAACCCCTAATGACCTTTGGCTGGCTAAAACACTACATGACACAGACTGTGCAGTTAAAACCCCCACACCTTCTTTTCTCTCTGGGATGGTCCCATTATTCATGCATACATCCAGAAAAGCAATAAAGCTGAGCGGTTTCTATGTGTATGCAAACAAGCACTGATGGAGGGGCGTATCTTCTGAAAGCAGCCAGAAGTCAGGGCTGCATGGACGCTCCCGTTCCTTTGTGGGTACAGGGCAGGGAGCACGAAGGACCCTGGATGCCTGACACAGGAGTGAGTGTAAAGCACAGGGCAGCGGGCACAAGGCACTCAGGCAGCAGTCTCAGCCACCAGAGCCACAATGCAGATGGCTTCCCAGGGGAATACCACTGTCCTTGACCCTCCTTGATCCCCATTACAGAGGCCATAACACGAGACCTCAGAGAGAGATGGGGCAATGTGAAAGGGAATGGAAATGAAGGGGTCTTCAGGGCTCACGAATGAGCATGAAGGACTTCCCCAGGGATAAGGGCAGCAAGGCTGCCAGTTACAGAGGAGCACGAGTAAATACAGCGGGAGGGGGGAGCAGATGTGGCAGTCACACGTCTTAGTGCACATAAAAAGATAGCTCTTTCAGTAGTTTCTTGTAAGAAGCCAGAATATTTTGAAGAACAGTGAGTGAGAAATATAAAATGTGCTGTATGGTGGCAAGTGAACTCTTGCAAGATTTTTAGGCCAAACTGGCTAAACTTACAGCTATGCCTACCCGCTTGAAGTAATGTGGATCACGTTACTTTAGATCTGTTACTTTGGATCTGTGTATACAGAGCTAAGCTTAGCTCAGCTCTGTATACACAGCCTTCTCATCAAATCCCACTGCATTTGAATTTCTTTGTATCTAGACTTCTATTTTGCAGGTATTAAAATAAAAGCAAAAAATTATCAGTATCACAGTGAAAATCAGCACATGACCATTTCTAGCTCCCAGCTCTGACCTCAGACCAAACCTCCAAAACCTGTCTATCAATCCTGCAGTGAAAGATTCTGTCACTAAAACTTTGCAGAAAACATCACTGAAATGCATGGCACAGATTGCTCACCATGACATACAGCCTAGCAGTGAAGAGGACAAAAGCCATGCTGGTCAGCAAAGACATAAGAGGTAGGTAAGGGCATCAACTGAAGTCTCATTTTATACCGTTTCCAGATTTTGGCAGGCACCTTCAGCCTTTCCAGCTACATTGAGACCCATGTAGCAAAGGTAATTTCTTTATTTGTCAAACTAATTTGTTGGTGAGGATGTGAGGGACTGACAGCCCTTTCAACACATTATACGATGCAGACAGGCACTGAACACAGCAGACTGGAAAAACAACACTGAAGAACATCTCCACCTTAAAGGTGCTATCTCACCAACAAAATATATAGCAGATCTGCATTGGCCCAGACCATTACTTTCCCTGGCAAGGACTTGGGGACAAAGCTCCTTAAAACAGTAGTAATCATATTCCACTCATGCTCCTTTTTACTGCCAGCTGTAAACTAGCTCCACATGCATCATGGTTTTGCATCAAAATGTGCACAGACCAAGCCCATATCCAAAGGGACAAGGTAGATCCAATTTACAGCTTTGACAGGTCTGTGCACCCGAGGCAGAGCATGCAGGAAATAGCCTGATATCTCACTTGGGGAGCGCTTAAGAGCCTGCTAGTAGAACTGGAGGCAGAGCCACAACAGCCTCCCACAAAGAGCCAGCAAAAGAGCAGAGAATTTGCCATCCATTTTTCAAGAAACACAAAGAACAGGCAGCACCCGCCAAGGCACTACTGGGGAAGACAGGAGTCAAGTTTGATCCCAACTTGCAGCAATCCTTTGTTAGGACAAGTGCAAGGGAAACCACAGCAGCACTGGGAAATGCATACGCTGCATTGAGTCACCTCAGTAATGAGAGACCACACTGAAAACTGCTTAAGTCTTTCATATAGTTGAAACAAAGCAAAAGGAACTTGTGACCCAATGCAGGTATTACTAACATATGCAGAGCAATTACTTTGCAGAGGAGGTTGAGTCCACTTTAGACCCAGAAATTCTGTTTGCTCGCTAACAACCTAATATCAGGGGTTTTTTTTCTTTTTAGTACAGTTTTCCAGTTAAAAACCTAGGCCTATCCTGATAACAACTGAGAATATTTTTACTAATCTGCTCTACAGCACTGTGGATGAACTGTTTGCAGATAAGTTCTGTACTTCATATGGATCTCTGTACGTCTCAAGTGGCAGAGCACTAGAAGATCCCTCTGAAGCTGAACTCTTCCTGTGTCATTACACTCCAGAGTTAAAACCCAGGCAAGGTATCTGATCTTGCTGAAATTATCTAAAAAACTGGTTTTCCTCTCTACTTAGGTTTTCCTCTCTACATTATGTCGCACATATTCCCATCATTCAAAATATTCTTTTCCTAAAGCTGTTTGCTACCAACAGTAGAATTTTTCCTTGCAGAATTAAACACGGCTGCCATCTATTAATGCAAGTTTCCAGCCAAAAACTTTTAAGACCCTTTCCAGTTCAGACAAATGACAAGTATACATGACTTAAATAACACATATGAATTGTGTTTTCAATAACACATGAATTGTCACTTCCTTGATGGAAATCAGACTCCTTTATTCATTCCCACCTAACAGTCCTGGCATTGCTCCTGAGACAGCAGGTGACTGGCAAGTGCCCTGGAGAACCAGTATCAGAAAGGAGGTGGGACAAACCAGAAAAAATTAGTGAGCCAGCACTGTGGTTTTTTCCCTTTTATCTCTCAGAAGAGCAGCAGCAACTTGCAAGGCAACAATTAACATGATTAACTATTTACCTGAGGATGAATCTGCGGTTTATCACATGTAGCCTCAAAATCCAGCACTAAGAAGTAGTGATATCTCTGTGGAGGGAAGGATGACATTGCTGCCATGGAAGCTCCAAAGCCGTGGGACGCCAGTTTCCTGCTTACGATGGAGCAGAACCCTTCGAGAACACCAGCTGGGAAGAGGAGGGACACAGCTTGTCTTGACCTTGGAAGTAAGTTTGGGGGAAACTTTGCTGCTCCAGTATGGAGGAGTGCTATCATTGAACATCCAGAGGCATCTGAAACTGAAGAGAGACTCATGTTACTCATGCACACCTACATCTCACCTCTACTGGTATCTGTTCACTGTCCTCCTCTGACAGGGATTCCCTTTGTGCTCCCCAGTGGAGGTTCCAGCATCACAAACCTGAAATAACACAGTAGCCTGCTCTAGCACAACAGATGACATTTGGATTGAGCTTAAGGTGTCCAGAATCACAGGCCACTGAAAATTAACCTCTGCAAATAACTCTAAATTAAGAACTATGAGATGCACAACAATGATGGCTCCAGGCACCAGATCACACCCCACTGCTGATCCTCATCATAACAGAACATAACACAAACCAACTAAAACACAGACTATCCAATCTAAGCCCTGTTGAAATTTCTGAGGCCTTTTATCTTTTCATATACAATGCAGTTTCTGATACATGGTAAAAATTAAACACAGCAATACACATACCAACACTACAACTCATCCAAACAGCCTGACCCTGAAACACCTGCCAGTTGCACCAAAACATGGCATTTCCACTACAAATCCAGGTGGCTGGAGGCTGGAAGGCTCCTCCCCAGGAAAGTTCTCATTTCCTCTGTATTCAATATTTTTCAGATATGTGATTTTAGTGCTACACTCCACTTCTAATTTCAGGTATTTCTCCCAGAGGAGGCTATCAGTTCAACGCAGGTACTGCAGGAAGTGTAAAATGCAAGCAGGACTCTACAGGCTACAGTCTTCCTCCCAAAGAAATACCTCACTCAGCCATCACCTTCTGATACTTTCATCTAACAAACACTATTAAATAAATTGCATTATCCATATTGAAACGACCTGGATTTCCCCTCCTGCTACTTTTCCTCTGAAACTTTGCAGGAAAAAGTTGCCAGGATTGTCACTATCCAAGATGGGTTGGTCTCAGGGCTGTTAATAGATCTACAGGAATAAGAATTCAAGACTAGTTCATGGTGTTACATGGGTGGGTACAGGGACTGATAGCTAAACAAGCAAATTACACCAACTCAGTCCTCTTGAACAAGGATAGGAGTACTCCCTCTAATTGTGTATGCATATATATACACACACACCAAGCTATATAGAATATTTAAATCTATCCCCAGAGCTGGTCCCGCTGCTCGTGGAAGAACTCCATCACTTGATATGCCACCCACCTGCCCTTTTATGAGCTTGTCCCCCCACACCTGTGCTGGCTTTCTGCTCTGCCATGAAGGGATGGAAGTACCCACCATGAGACATGGAGACAAAGTGGCCACAGCAAAACAGGGACTTGCTGCTCACAAACAAAGTCACTGTTTGCACAAAAGACAGCATTTGCTCTCTCCCATCCGTTAGTCCGTCAGGTAAATAATGCATGTGCCAAAACACACACTTAATGAGGTAAATAATATGCCTTGAAAAACAGCTAAATCTGTATTTACCTGCGAGACCAGAGAAACTTGGAAGGACCAGATTAGGAGATAATTGCAGCTAAGCAGGTTGTGTGCTTTGAGTAAACATGCATTTGGTAACCTTCCCCTTCCAAGCTTTTGAGTGAAAGGCAAAAATCAAACAAGTTGAAATGTTTAAGACCAGGCCAGTGCCCACACTGCCAATTCCACGGATATATGCATTGCCCTTGCCTCAAGGCTCTCATATTTTGAAGCCATTTGCTTTATTAAAGCACTATGCCAGAGAGCAGGTACCTCAAAAACTGAAAACTCAAGTTGCAAAACCAAAAATGAAGAGCCCAACATGGCATTTATCTTGAAGGGGCTCAGTTCTACCTACTGCTTTTTCATCTACAGCTTTGGCTGTCATTCATAAATGCTTCACAGCCAAATGGAAGTTACTTATATTTTCTTCTAACATGTGCCAGATAACAGATATTTAAGGTATGCATGCTTTAAATCTTCTAACTACCATGAGTCTAAAGGCCCATCACAACAAATATAATATCTCAGAATAAAGCAGCTTGTAAGTTAGTTGCAGGAAAACCTGGTCTTTAGCCTACTGCATCAAATAAAACCCACAATTGGAGTGGGGGAGGCAGACAGGCTTCAACCCCTGTATCAAAGACAGGCAATAAAACATGCATTATCCACCCACCCACAGCAGGATCTCTTGTCTAATGTATCTAAACTGGCAAGACCAGGGTATCTGACAGGGCCCCCATGAATCTTCAGGCTGGGTTGCACTACACGCAGTGGTGCTGAGGTTTCCAAGCCACTGAGTCCACGGCAAAGGTAAACCAGCCACCTTGGCAGGATTCAGGCACATCCCCATGCAGACACAGCAGCACCATGGCAGACCCTGCCATGGCAGATCAGGGTCACAAAAGTACCATGTGACATCCGTGGAGGAATTAACAGTGCCTGTTTACACTAACAGCTTCTGCAGGGGTCCACATTTAGCAACAGGATCGGGCTCCCGTGCTAAAAGCAGCCTCCCTCCCCAGTCTCCCGTGTAGCAGAGGGAGCAGTGCTCTGAACAAAGGTGTGTGAGTGGGCTATTGCATGATTTCCTTACACAGGCAGCATACAAACAAGGGCAACCCCACTGCAAACTCTGCACCTTCAGCCAAATGAAGTTTTAACGGTATGTTTACCCAGCCACTGCTCTGGGTGCCCTGGGAAGACCTCACATCATCTTCTTTGGCAAGGTCAGAGTGCCTCAGAGCACAAGATAGCTGGTGAGCAAACACACTTTATTAGATGTCATGTAAAGCATTTATAATGGCTATGACAATGCAAAGCACTAGTAATTATCCTGTACTTTTTTCTAAGAGAAAACGATGCAAGCAATGCAGCTTCAAAAATTAAAAACCCAGCTCTAGCCATATAAATCCACATGTTCAGTGATTCCATTTCCAAACCTACATAAAACACCATATATATATTTCTTATACACACAGGATCAGATTATAATCTCAGACAGTGCAAGCTGTCACATCTGGCAGTCAACCCTACTAGGTTAATATTTCATATCACACGGCTCAAATTCCTCACACAGATACGTATGAAATGTAATGGGACCATGAACTGAGGTTGGACCTCAGGAATTATTTTGACAGATTGTACACAGACCTAGGAAAATGTGATAGCACTTTACATTTGCTACACCCAGTAAGATGGGAAATGGCTGCATGTGGTGGGTTTCAGCTGGAAGATAGTTTGTGTGCTGGGCTGTGTAACACTGTGTGTCCCATATGACAGTACTGGCTAAAATCAGCATCTACATTTTAAAAATAAATTAAGAAAAAAATGTTCTCTGGACATCAGCTGCAGGTACTAAGACAAGTTCAGGCTGAGCACAGCTCTTGCTTCTTTAGCAGTCCAAGCACATGGTACTAAAGCATGGCAGTTTGATCACCAGCAAGGAAGGAAAGCCAAGAGAAAGGCAAGTGTCATCTGTAGCCACCAGCCTTGCCAGGGCCCCACTGAGTGAGAAGCAGAGAATCTGCACTGGCGGCTGCTGCACGCCAGGCTTCCCACTGGGAAGGCTGCTTAGGGACAACCAAACAAGACAGGGAACTCCTGCCACGTGAAGAATGCTGGTGACAAGAGCCAGCAGGGCAGTGCAAATGCTGTCCCCCTGTATACAGGGCAGCCCCAAAGCCACAGAGAGAGATGTGCACCACACAAGCTCCAGAGGAGTCAAATTCATCAATGGCAGGACAAATTAGTCTACTAAGAACTTGAGCTTAATGACTCCTGGCACATAACATAAATATGAACTTTTTACAACTGCATCTAATTAAAATTACAGTTTGCCTTTGAGCCCAAAATATTCCCTTTTACTTTCCAGTTTGATAAGCTGAGTAGGGAAGGGGCAGGAAGACAACACCTAACTTCACACTGGCAGGGTGACCCAAGAAATTACATTTTATGAGAGCCTTCACTCACATGTTAAATTACTTCATTATGACAAGACAGCCCTCCACCATATTACAAAACAAACAAGTAAGAAAACCCCCCACTAACCTAAACTACAAGAGAAACTGAAATTAAAAAACAAAAGCAAGCAAGCTCTGGGAGTAAAATGCTTCAGTTTATTATTTGTGCAAAACCTGGGTAGGGGCAGCTGTGACTCCTGGCCTCCAACAGACAACTGAACTCAAGGCTAGAGCAACGAAAACCAATCAAAAATGTAAGTCAGTTTTGTCTATTTTATTGAATTGTGGAGGAAAAAAGTTAGGGTCATAGAGATGCTTTCTGTAAAACAAAATTGCACACATTTAGTGACACCTGGAACACAGTATAACAAAAAATGCAGGACTTCAATTTTGGTAGCTGTTCAAATGCATACTCAGAGGTCAAATGTGAGCCCATATTTCACTTGTGTGAAAACATAACTGAAGAACAATAGAGATAACTCAGGGTGTTTTTTAATCAACCTTAACCTAAACCCAAATATTTCATTAGATGAACTACAGTACAAAAATGACAGCACCTGGCTAGCCTGTGAGGCAGGAAACAAGAGACTATGAACAAGACCAGCTTATCCACTGTCACCACTCAAACTTGCCAAAAAAAACCAACCAACATAAAGTAAAACAAATAACAAAAGACAAAGCTTTTAGAACTGTTTAATAAAGTAACACAATTTTAGACAGGTAGATTTGCTTCTTTCTTTAATTTGTTAACCTCACAGTATCATCACTGGAACATGAGAACAGTACACTTCACGGCTGCACTCCCTTCACGTTTGGCTGGGTTTGTCTCCAGCACTGCCAGACAACCACACCTCTGTTTTGGAAAATCTGTACTGTCATGGCACGTCTATATGCTGCCCCATCATTACTCAGCTCAGATACAACTTGGCATTCATCATTTTGTTTTTACAGTACTCCACAATCACACCCAGGCTCTTCCCACTGCAGATGAGGAGGTCCCTGTTCTCAAGAACTTACAGTCTAAAATTAGAAGCAATACAAGTGAGGGGAACAACAGAAAAGAATGAGGGGTACAGGAGGAGAGCTGGGCAACTGCTCATCTGGGAGAAACATGCATCTTGGTAGGTCAACTGAAAAAAATAATTCACCCTATACAAGCACTGGTTTCCCTCTGTATGGCCATTATGGAAGAGATAAGTGAACATGGAAAAGGCTGACTAAAGGATGGAGGGCACTCTTGGGTTAAGGAAGGTCTCTCCCATTTCTTGAGCTCATTCTTGCCGCTGGGTTCCTTGGCTGATTTGTCAAAGGCACGAGCACACATGTCACAGCACCAGAATCTCTTCCATTGTGACATCACAGACGCGATGGCTTGTGAGATCACAATGTGCAAGGCCGAAGGCGCTGATTACTTAGGGAAGCGCTTGCTGCAGCTATGGCACCCTACAAAGCTGGGAAACAAACACATCTCAGTTCACTTGACAACACAGCGAAACCCACATGAGACTCCACACCAGCAGGACACGAATTTGTCTGAACAGACCACCCAGAAGCCGTCCCAAAGATGCACAGTACAATTCCACTCCAATTTTATTAGGCCACCTCTGCTAGGCAACCCACTTTCGTCAGCTCCTTGACTGGTCTCCTAAGACAGGCTTTGCTGTGTATTTTTAAACCTTCTCCAAGAGTAACTGCAGATGAGCAAACGGGTCTAAGCTGGAGTCTGAAGAAGTTCCACACAGCAAAGGACTGGTCACTTAGAAGAAACGTAGAGAAAGGAAAGAACAAAAATTAAAACAAAGAAGCAATAACAGGGACACATACAGCAAAAGCCAAAGAGGAAGAACAGATTTGCTATTAAGGAAAAGAACAGTTGCACGGGATCAGACCAAAAATCCTTTGCCTGGGAGCCATAAGAAAATGCACCAGTGTGAAACTACACAAAATGAGGTTAACCAAGCCAACAGCTCTGGGAGGCCAAAAGGAGGCAGGCCTGTCCTTCCCTCTCAGCCTTGCTCTCCTGTTGATTACATTACACCAGTTCCTGAGCTTGTCTGGCCCTTCTGCGAGCTGACTCAACCACAGGAACCTATAAAAGGACTCACACAGCCAGAATAAAACACAATTAAAACAAGATAGTTTCTGGCTGGTTTAGTGAGACGAATTAGCTCAGGGCCAGGCTGGATGAATAGCAAAGCTCAAAGAAGAGGAAGAGCCCACACTGGCAGAAGCAGGAATGAGATGAGCCACTGGGGCTGTTGGTCAGCTCAGCTGCTCACCAACCCATGTACTCAGACCAGGACAGAGACACCTGGGATGACATGGCACTTTGCAGAGAATGGAGAAGTTATCTTAGCTCTAGCAGCACAGACACATTAAACTTGAATTCACAAAGTTTATCCACCAGACCATCTGGTCTCAGCCTCATGGCCCTAAAGTTTCCATTTCCTTAGTTGAGCCCAAAGGCTTGAACATCTTTCAGAAAAGTTTCTGGCCTTGAATTGCAGCATGAAGACTGGAGCTTCCCCTCTACCTTCAAACAGCTCGTTCCAATGGTCAATCCATTCGCTGTCAAAAAATAACATGTCTTAGTTTTCATTCAAACTTTCCCAGCCCTGGTCTTTGAGATAGGTTCTGAAATTTATGGCACTTCAGTGCTCTCAATCCTCAGCACAGCTCCCAGTGCCAGGAGCTAGAGATTTGTAGCTACTACCCATCTAGTCAGGAAAAGCTACTATTGCACATTGGCCTAATTTAGTGGAAAGGAGACACAGTAGGCCACCCTTTGTTTAATGGTATCTGGCACACATAATTACTTCATTTTCATACACATGAATGCCACAGTTCCTCAAACCACTTATACAGCTGCACATCTTCGTTATCTGAAAAATGAAAGTTAACACCTGAGAGTCCCAAATGAATCTCAGCCTGGATTCAGGGAAACAAGATTGGCATTGCTCAATTCACTGGTAACTTCTGATCTTCACAAATGAGCTCCAGAAGTGTTAAAAGCAAGCCAAAGCTGTGTCTTGGTACACTGGCAAAGGCTCCAAGCAGGGTAGCAGCTACAGTGGGACACGGTTTCCACACAACCCAGTCTCAGCCCAGAAAATCTGCCAGGGAAGATGTTCACCCTAATATTCAGCCACAGAAAAAATAGATTGTAACAAATACAGTTAAAATTAAAAAAAAAAAAATTGGTTGGAAGAGAAGTAGCTTTACCTATACAGCACATCTAGGGAGAATATAACTTTTCAGCTGGCCTGAGATGAGCTGAGATCACTTCTCTTAGGGAAGGGAAATGGCCCAAATGGTCCCTAGCACAGCCAGCACCTCTGCTCTAGGTTATGTCTTGACAGCCTCAACTTGTCCAATTCTTCCCTTATTCCCCCGCTTGCCACGGCACCACACTGGTATGTTAGCTCATCACTACTACAGTGAAACACCAGGAGTCTCAGCAGGACCATTTCTACCAAAAACACCTTTTTCAGATCCAAGAGAGACCTGTGACAAAAGCACAGCTGCTTACAGCCTTCCATGCTCCCCTGTAAGCCCAGGCCCCATGGGCAGTCCTGCAGCATTTACCTGGATGTCACCACACCTGCACTCCACAGCCTTGGGGCCCTCCACTGCAGGTGGCCACAGCACTGACACAGAGACAGGGTAAAATGCAAATACTCCACACATTTAAGCATCTTCCAGAACTCTATTTCCAAAATTTAAGAGGGTTAAGAAATAAATAAAAGCAATGCCTACCAAAGTTAACAGAATCAAAACAAGATAAGCACCAAACCAGCTGTAATCAGGCCCTCTGAAGAAAACAAACTGAAGTATGTCCCAAGTGCAGAACAGCAACTTTAGGTCCTATCAGTGTTTATTCAATCCAAGGTCTTCTTTATTTAGCATCAGGCACATGGGCATTTTTAAAAAGGCTTTAATCACTTTCTTCTTTTGGATTTTGGTACCACTCAAATCTGTCTAGACACACTAACTTTACAAAAAAACCCAAACCAAATGCACTATTCATGTAGAGCAACCCAAAGTTTGAGATGAACAAGAATGCATAAAAGGGCCACAGGGCGACTCTTTGAAACAAAACAAACATTTGGTCCACACTGTAAATTAATGTGAAAAATCAGTGGCAAAGGGCAGAATCCAGTGCTCCAAAAAGGAAACAAAAATATCTGAAGTAAAAAACACCATCTGAAATCAAATTTCCCAAGCCTATGCAGTGGGGACTAATCAACTAGACTTTGAACATACTACTGAATTTCAGAATTATTCATTCTTTAATAAAAGTTCAGATGCCAACTTTAATATCAAGCGATATGAGATGCTACAGTGTGGCAAAAAGACACTACAGGACAAAATCTACTCAAGTCACCATCTAAAAGAAACCAGGTAAAATCCTCAAACAGCTGTTAACAGCATCGGATGGGACAGGTGTTTTGGAGATGTACCTTCCTGGAGCCCTGCATACCTCATCCTTCCGAGACACAGTGCAAGCATTAACATATTTGAAAACTTGCTTGGTCCCCTTGCATCACGGCTGAAAGAATATCAAGAGTTCAGACTACACAGCAGCTGTCAATCTACCATCTCTGGAACCAAAAGCTCAATAAAGAAACTAGGTAAGTAAAGAATTAGCAAAACAAATGTCACACTTATTAGCAAACAGGCCAGCAATGACCACGTAAATCCACCAGACACAGGACTTGTAAAAGACAGAACATCAGCAGTAAATGACAACACCTCTTTATACATCTCAGTTTGGAAGAAACACCTGTAACAGCATAGCAGCAAGAAATGAAAAGGAGAAGAAATTCCTACTGCCACTCAGGAAACAAGTAAATAGACTGTACTCCTAAGCTTTCTCAAGTTTACTTCACTCTCCAGATCTGAGACAAGTGATCAGTTCGATCCCATATGGTAAAAAATATAGGGAAAAAAAACCAAAACAAGCCTCCTACTCCCTGATTACCTCCACCTATGAACCTCCACATCCCAAAACATAAAAAAATCCTTCCTCCTGCTGCTGCTGCTGCCTGCAGCTCAGCCCGTGCCCAGCCCCCGGGCACACGGGCTGTTTTCCCTTCCTCAAGCCCGGAAAGCGACTGACGCCGCTGCAGCTGGGATCTGGGGGACTGCTGCCACAGCCACCCTCCAGACCTCCCCTCCGGGCCGCGCCGGGGCGCGGAGGGCCCGGCAACCCGGGCGTCGAGCGGACGAGGCGCCCCCACCCCGCGCCCTCCCCTCGGGCCGGGGCCGCAGTCGGTCCTCACCGGCACCAGCACCGGCACCCCCGCCCTGCCCGGCCCCGCCCGGCCCGGCCCGGCCCGGCCCGGCCCGCAGCCCCACGCCCCCGGTTCGAGCCCCGCCGCCGCGGGGGGCCGGGCCGCGCCCCCGCTCCGAGCCGGGCCTTTCCCCCCCGCCCCGGGCCACGACGGCCCCACGTCTCCGCCAGGCCTGAGGGGCCCCCCGCGCCGGCCGGGCCCCGCAGGGCTGGGCCGAGCCGCCGCCCGCCTCCCGCACCACCCCCGCGGCGGAGCCGCCCCGGCCCGGCCGGGCCCCGCGCCCCGCACTCCGCACCACGAGTGCCCGGCACCGCCACTCACCGCCCGCACTCTGACCCCCGACCCCGCGCTGAGCGGCAGCGCCGCCGCCCAACCGCAGCGCCGCCCGCCGCCGCTGGGGGCGGGGCTTCCGACCCGCCGCGCCCCCTCGCGCAGGCGCGTGTCTCGCGCCGCCCCGCGGGGCACGCTGGGGGCTGTAGTTCTCCGCGGCCGGCCCCGCCGCGTGGCTGCGCCTCGACGCCGCGCCGGGTGTGGGGGTGCCGGTTCCCATCCCCGGTGCCCGGCGGGATCTCATCCTCTCCCCGCCGGCCCGACTCCTCGATTGCCTCGGGGCCAGCACTTACCCGCCTTGTGTCCTCAAGGGCCATCCCAGCCCGTCGCCAGGACACCTCCCCCAAGTCCCAAGTCCTGATGCCTCCGTGCCTCTGTGCTCCCTCATCTCTTTCAGCCGAAACCTGTCCGAGCCGTGCCTGCTCTTTGCTTGACACCCCGAGCTGTGGCACCTCCTCCCCGATCTCTCTGGCTGTCACCCTCTGCCAGGGTTCTGAGCCCTGTCCCTGCCTGCTGCTGCAAGGAATCCTGACCGGGCTGGCCATGGATTGTCCCTCCGGAGACATCCGAGACTCACCTGGAGGTGTTCCTCTGTCACCTGCCCTGGTGACCCTGCCTTGGCGAGGGGATTGGACTGGGTGGTCTCCAGAGATCCCTTCCAACTCCAACATTCTGTGATTCTCTGAACTTACCTGCAACCATACCCAATCTTTAGCCTATTGGTCTATCCATAACTCTTGGAATCTCACTGCAATGACAAGTGTTCTAGCTGGGGCCATTCCCTGCTATTCATTGCTTCCTTCCCCGCTTCTCACATTCACCCACACCTCCACACTGCAAGCCAGCAGCTCCTTTGCACACCCCTGACACTCCTCATATGCATGATGAACAAACTCAGAGCACTGACTCATGCAAACAAGACTGTGAGGGATTCTAGAGGCTGCCTCACCCATCATTTGCCTGCAGGCAGGAGCAATCCTACCTCTCATGGTCTCCTCTTAAAATAATTCCTTAAGCCTTTCTCTGGCTCCATGTCTTAAAATACTGGACAAAGATAAGTACCAGAGTGCAGAGATCACTGACTGATGCTCCACATGAGGTGGGCTGGCTGCCTGACTCAATCTGCCTGGTTCTCCTGCCTTTCACTGAATTGCTGGCTCTTCAGGCTGGATTTATCCTTTCCTCTGTTTGTGTGCAGCCTTGAACTTGAGAGGCCTGAACCATGAAAGTATCATGTCAGAACTATAAAAATACCAACAGCAAACCATTTAATAATAGTAAGAGTTCCTTTAAGTCCTCTTAGATTTGGCATCTCTCAGCTTCCCACCCACATAAGCAAGGATAATGTGAAATTTTACTTCTAAGCTTAGCTATATTGCTGTGATTTGTCAAGTCATTGGTGACTGATGTATGGATTGTCAGGAGCCCAGGAGAGTGAATTGAAGGCCTTTGCACTGTGATTCCTTGAGCAATCTGTCCCTGGCCCTCCCTTAGCAGGGATGGAAACTGGCTGAAATTACACTGCAGTCCCAAAGCTTGAAATTTAGGCCTCACAGCCTGCATGTGTTTCTAAGAGGATGAAAGAGAAGAGGCCTTTCCTCTGCTGACCTCTGCATCTTGCAGTAAAATGTAATTCCTTGGTCTAGACAAACGATGAAGGGCTCATAGAGGTGTGCATGCCCTTTTCTCATTGGCCAAGCCTCGTTTCCCAGCAGGCGGATTTCCTCCTGCCCTGTTCACTGGGGAAAACCCCTTTTCCCAGATGAGTTATCTGCAGTAACCAGGGCCACACCTTGGCTTCTGCCAGCCTCTGTGACCCAGAGACTGCAGGACAGCAATGAGATTCCTTCAGCAACTGCACTTTCAGAGGGCCTTTTTTCTGGCACAACTATCAGCACCCAAACCAGCTCAAAGAGAGCCATGTTTTACAAAATATTGTCACTGTTTCTGTATTGTTCATGTCTGAGCCTGTCTTATGCCTCAAATGAACACTGCAGGCCACTGAAAATGTCACCTACAGATTAATCTGGCTCACTCCAGGCTTCTGGAAAAATAAATGAGGGTGATCAATAGCTATCCTGTGGTGTGCCCTTCGATGCACGTGGCCCCTGTAGCATCCTGGCTGGGAACAGCTCCCCTGCCCAAGGGACTGTGCCACTAAAGCACATGGTCAATTGCCATGGGGCCCGAGGCAAGGAGTGCTGACAAACTGGGTCATGCAGGTGGGGAACAGTGGTCAGAAGGGCTGACAGTTGCTCATTAGGGCCACCTTATTTATTCCAGGTAGCACAACCCATGTCAGTCCCGTGACCCCGTTGCCTCAGGACCGGCTCTATCCGAGAGCAAGCGAGCGTGATTCAGGAGTCACTCTGGTGTCTTAATTGCTTGCCCTACTTTACAGATTTTGAGATGGCTAGAAGAAGCACATAGGAAATAGGGTCCATGCTGGGGCAGTGTCTGCTCTGTCCTAATTTACATGAAAGACTGTCTTCAAACCTTGGGTGAAAATCAACTCAGATTCCAGCTGTGACCTTCTCTCCTATGGCTGGATCCCTCTGCTGCTGCCAGCAACCTGGTCTACAGTTACCTGAAGTTTTATTTGTTTTAAAACCCCAACAGTTTCCAAGCAAAGCATCATTTCATGCAGCACAAATGTTAAGCCACCACTGGGCTGATGGATGGACAGAGCTTGATTAGAAAGCAGCAAACCAGTGGGGCAGGGTAAGGCAGAAAATACAGAATAAACTCCCCTGGCCCCAAGTGGCAGCTGCAAGGGATCCTCTGTGTGAAGACAGGGCTGAGCTTATCCTAACCCAAGATCAACTGTCAGGTCTCTGCCTGCTGCTGGGTCAGCACAGAGAAGGAGGGACATTCCCTCCTTCTCCCAGTGCCTCCCTCCCAAGGGCCCATGGAGCACAGCTCCTTTTAAAGCAATGGGATTTTACATTATTGTGGCACAAAGAAACATCAGATCATTTTAAAGGCAACTCTGTTAATACTGTTCAGCTGCTTATGCTGAGTGAAACTTTTAAATGCCTTATAATACACATGACAAGTAGTTTTGTATCACTGTTTTCTACTTAACAAGTTAATAACGTGCCAACCCAAATCCTTCAGTTACTAACGCCACCGGTGGGACTCATTAACCAACGTGAGTACATATTTAAGGGAATACTAATATTCACAATGTACATTTTTATATTCATGTTGTCATTCTTGAAACCACAGCTCAGTTCACGTATTCTGTTGAAACATTTGTTTGCAGAGGATTTCTCTCTCCCTTTCCCTCCAAACACAGAGACTATCACTGGGGTATCATTCTGGTGAATGATATTAATGACAGCCTGTCATCATGGAAAGCTATTTCGAGCTGTCAATTAAAGGATGTTTTGAAAGAAAGCAGCTCATTCAAACCCCGTGGGAGCAAGTGTGTCTCATTGTCTGACAGTGACCCCCTTGATGAATTTGGGAGCAACAGCAGCTCTGTGGGGCTCGGAGCTTTGCAGATGCAGCACAGGGCTCTTGGATGACAATGACAGGAGATTTTAAAGGTGCTGATGTCCTTAGCAAAGAAAAGGCAAAAGAGTATTTCAGATGATAAAAGCAATCCACAGGTAGGAGTATTGGTCAGGAAAGAAGTCCCAGGGATAGTGAGCCATTCTCCTCCATCTTGTAATATAATTTCCTCTCCAATATCGCAATTTATCAACCTCCATCTTCAAATATGTCTTTTTACTTGCCTATGCTCACCCAAGTAGAAGGCTTCTTCAGCTTTTTTTCTACCTGATAGATGGAAAAACCTCTAATTCCCAGATAAAATGTAATTATAGCAAGTTTACTCCAATTTATTCTGGAAAAATGATCCTTTGATTTAGCTTGGTTGGTTTCTTTCCCTCTCCTGGTGTATTCATAGGCAGCTCTCAGATCCCAGCCATTTTTGCCATATTTGCTTTGGTGGCCTAAACAAGCCACTTTTTTCTCGTGTCTCCTTAGCATCTTATCTTTTCATTTCCCACTCCATCTTAGTAGGCCTCCTCTGCACCTGCTTCAGTTTCAATTAAATTTTCTTGAGCATGAGTGCCCAGGCTGGTATGTGGTATTCCTGAGCTGGGCTCCAAGGCCTCGTACAATATATGTCACTTGACCCTATAAATATCACTCAAATAAACATGCTTGATTTCTACATTTCCCCCCTCAACAGGGTGGTCCAGTCTCAGGGTTTTCTCGTTCCTTTTATTTTCCTAAGCACTCCTTGCGCAGTAATAAAAATGTACAGACTCAGTGGGGATCTGTTTTAACTTCAAATGTGCTGATTCAGTTCAAAAACCATTAATTCAGCCAGAATCAGGGCCATGGGGTGGAAATCCTTTTCCAGTTAAAACAGAGGTGAGAGGGACAGCCTTTGGCAGGCTAGGAAATAAAGTGCATTAGAAAAATGTTGCAGGACATCAGAAAGTGGCTATTGACTGGGCTATGTTAACAGAGGACAAGGGAGTCTTGGACATTTCACATCAGGATGGGATGTTTCCATAGGAGATCTGCTTGGATTTCAGCAACTTCTGGGGTTTGGTGCATGTGAGCATTTTATTTCTCTAGTCTGTGCCTTGCTGGAATGGTCAGAATCATCCCTGCTGGACCTTCTATTGACTGAGCACACAAAGCTGGTCAGACAGGCTGGTCCTGTCTCCAAAAAATCCCACTTTAACCACAAGTGCAAGAGGATGCAGAGAAATGCAAAGCAGACAAACAACTGTGTTGCTCAGGCTGTAGATCAGTGCCCTTGCCCTTTGTGTGGCTCCCAGTGAAAGCAGCTTTTGCCTTTCATTCCCACTTTGTAAGTGGGATGAGCAGAAAAACTGAGTGTGTCAGGAAGGCATCAGCACCAAAACACAAAATAAAACGACCCATCACGAGCAAAGGATTTCCCCAAGACACTTGACCAAAGGAAAACGGGCTGAGCATCAGGAGAAATGTCCTGAGGCTATGATGCTTTAAACTGTGGGATCAGCTTCCGAGAGGAGCGGTGGGAGCCGTGAAACCAGCCACTCACAGCACTGTAAAACGTCCC